ATTTTTTTCATTTGACATGTAATTTTTTATTTATTATTTACATAGGTTTTACAGAGACAGCTGGATGTTTAGGGGCTCATTTGTTATAGAAGTAAGAGACTGTTACGGAAGAGATCATAGCTCCTGATCTAAGGGCCCCTGTGTCATGTCCTTGCTCTTAGAGAATGAGTGGAAAAGTGATAAACACAATTTATATAATCTTTAGAATCCTTTTTTTTTGGGGGGGCGGAATATAAAAGGTGTATGTAACTGAGCAAATGTCTTTTGGAGGCCAACCTACCGATGAGTGTAGTGTTACTATGAACCTGACTTCTCCTTTAAATTCAAGGCCAGGACAGTTTGATTCCTGTATCTCTCAGTTTTTGGAAGCCTCCTAGATATATTTAAAAATAAAGAGAACTGATAACCTCCACAAGGACCCTGGCCAACTTGAGGCGATCAAGTGTAACATAAAAGGCTTGATCTTTTTAGACACGGGTAAGTATCCAGGAAATATGAGCACAATGAGAAGAGGCATCATAAACAGAGAACAAGGATGTACATTATTTTAAAAGGAGTAAATCTTGTAGCTGCTTGGTATAGAACTTATCCTGACTGTGGCTGACAAGCAGGTGATTTTTTCCCAATACTGTTACTTTATGGTTTTTTTTTTTTTTGATCACTACACAATAGTTAATTAGTTATTACAGAATCAGAAAAACACTTATCTAAAAGGAGAGATCTGGAGACCAGTGGTTTCTAGGATTGGGTACCTGTAAAGAATTTCTTTTAATTTTTTTGAAAAGAATCTGTACACACTTGTAGCTAATTAATGATTTTTGCTTCTATTTAGTACCCAAAGTTTTGTCTTTTTGAAATGGCTGTGTCATGCGTGAACCAAAAGATTTTAATGGGTGGGCTATGTCTTAATTTTTCTGAAGTCTAGCTTTATTATTATGTCATTGTTTTATACCTCTTTTGATTATTTTTTCTGCTGGGTGTTTAAGACCAAGTTAAAGCTAGACCTATGTCAATCAATATGAACCTCTTGTTATCTATTAAGGTCAGTTAAGTCTCCCCAGGCCATTACTTTGGAACCATGCATAGTGCCTCTCTGCTCCTCTGTCAGTGTCAGCCATCTGGATGGGTCATGGCCTTGCCTGACCAAGTTGCTTTCAGTGAAAGCACTGGAGATATTTTTCTTGGTGACCCTCCTTTGGCACACAGTACATTGTCCTCTGGTGTCCAGCAGTCTCCCAGTTTAGGAGGTTGAGTGACTTACCAAAGATGTAGGACCCTGTAGAGAAGGATCCCTCATGTCCTGGAACTTTGTTGACCTTGAGGGGCCAGGGCCAAAATATTGGCTGTCCTCATAGCCCAGTTACCTTTTAGTTTTGGTCTCCAAACTTTAGTTGTTGAACA